GGGCTAAAGCCGTTCCCGGCTGCGCCTGGCAATAGATCTCGGCTTGTCAGGTTGGAAAATTAAAATGTTATTGATGGGGAAAGTGAAGCGCAGGGGGATTTTTTTTATTTTTGATTTTATTTTTCTTTCCCTTTGGTCGAGCTGGGAGCTCTCTTGGGCAGCACCGAGAGCTCTGATCCCGACTGCCCAGGGGCTCCCCGCTGCATCTGCCCCTGCTGGGATGGCTTGGGTTTATATTGCCTTTTTTGAGGGTTTTTTCCCCACCCCTAGGAAGCAACACATGACAAATCCCACAAATATGCCCTACGGAGGCTGAGGGCTGCATCCCTCCCATCCCGTCAGCGCCTTCTCAAGGAAACAACCGCTCCTGAGCCCTTCCCGGCTGCAGGATTTCTGGAGGGGAGGAATTTTGGGAGAGTTGGGATTAATTAATTCAAGCCTAGGTGGAGGAGACTTTAGCAAAGCAGCAGAACAGCTGCCACATCAAAAGCAGCGCTGTTCTCCGGGCAGGGAAATGCCGGGGCTATTTTTAACCAATTAAATAGGCGATTTAGCACCAGACTGATACTCTACAAAAGAAATTCAGCACAAAAGCTCCATTAAACCCCATGGCTCCAATCAAACCCATATTTCAAATCCCAGCCCATCGCCTCGGGCCATGTTTCCCCCCCTGGGGCCGAGGCCCCCGGCTGCTCCCAGTCCCTAATTTGCCCCCGTGGATCGGGTCTGGCAGGGAGCAGTCCCAAAATCGGGCGCAGGGATGTTTATTCCTCAGTGGGAAAAGCCAGAAGGGACTAAATTCATAACGTTGGTGGGGAGCCCTGGTACTACGGGGATGGTACTTAGCGATCCAGGGCTGGAAAAATCCATCTTGCTGAGTCAGAATCGTAAACCCAGCTTTATTTTGGGGGGAAAAAGGGGAGTTTTATTTCCCACCCTTGTGCAAAGGGTCTTAGCCACGGTCTCTGCTTGCACAGCCTCTGGCCAGCCCGGCTGTGGGCACTGTGAGCTTGGTTTGGGGGTCCTCAGCCAAATCCAGGCTGGACTGTGGGGGCCCAGGACTGTGCGCTGGCCACAGAAGGGTATTTAAATTGTTAATGATTTTTTTTTTTTTTTTTTTTTTCTATTGTGGGACTCCCCAAGGGGCTGCCCGGGATGAGGCGGCGGGTGACGAACGGCCCCAGCTCCCCAGGGATGTCACATCGCGGAGGCTGCAGAGATTCCTCGCTCACCTGATGGATGCGACTGCGGGGGCTGGTGGGTGTTTTCATCGAGGCCCCCCATCCCCAAGCAGGTTGGGGTATTGCCCCTTGCATCCTCCCAGGGTGTACAAATTAAAAAAAGAAGCTGATAATTCCAGGTTTTCCTGCCTTTTTTGCCCCGTTAGCGATCCCTGGTCTTATTCCCTTGTGCTCCCAGGAGAAGCACCAAATGCAATTTGAGGTATGGGGGATACATTTCAAACCATAAATCAACATATTTACACATTATGTTCAGATTCAAACACACCCTCATTACTGAAAAAGATATTATTCCCCCTCTGCCTTCTTTTATTCTCACAAATAAATGCAGCTGAGTCTTTATTTCTACAGGATATTTATCACAGGGCCACATCATTGCACGTTGTGCTCTCACGAGCCGAGAAGTAGCAGGGTAACTTTATTCTCGTGTTTTCTTTTAGCTAAATAATCACAAATCTTTGATTCAATTCTTAACTACGCCCATCAGGGATAAATATGGGTAGAGAGGTGTGCTTGGAAAATCCAGCTGTGTTGGCTTAGCTGACAAATAACCCTGGGACGTGGGTGCGGGTGGGAGAGGTGGTGTGTTGGGGTTTGTTGTTTTTTTTTTTTCCCCTTCCTCTGTGGTTTATTAATATTTCTTTTCTACCATTAGAGATTCAGGTCTCATCTGCTTATTTCTGAGATCATCAGGGGGAAGAAAAAAAAAAAAGCCCAGGGTGGCGGAGCTGGAAGGGGTTATATAGGGCGGGAGGCGCGGGGCTGCTGCCAGACGGGGGCGGCGCGGGGGAGCCGGCTCCTGCCCCAGCGCCATGGGCCAGCTCCTGCAAACCCTCTGCTTGCTCCTGCTCATCACCTCCTGCCCCGGCGCCGTCATCACCGGGGTAAGTGCCGCTTCCAGCCCCAACCTGGGAGGTTTACTGATTTATTTAATTTTTTTAAAATTATTTTGAGGTATAAGGCAGGAAGCGGTGCCTTTTGCTGGTTGCTTCGGGGGTTTTCCCCCCAATTTCTTACTCAGTTTTCCTGATGCGTGGATGCTGTTCCCACAGCCAGCCCCGGCCCACGTGAGTGTAAAGTCACGCCAGCGAGCCGCTCTTTCTGCTTCTCTTCTCAGCACCCTGGCATGCAGGGAAAGGGGGGATTTTAGGAAGTTTTCCAGCAGGGAAAAAATAATAAACTTTATGGGCATCCCCCGGAGCATGTTCCCAACTGGGACACGGGCTTGAGCACCCCAGAGTGTCTTTCTCCCTCCCAAATTAAGAGAAATTATTAAAAGAGGGGGGGAAATAGCGGGATGTAAAGGAGAGGTACGACGCTTACCCAGCTGTGTTAATGGGCTTTCAGAGCTCGGCGTGTCTGAGAGCTCGGTGCTGCTGAGCAAGAGCTGGACCAAGGGTGATGCTAAAAGCAAGAGGAGCAGCGACTTTTGGGGACAGAATCCAGGCTTTTGTGGTGCTTCAGGAGTCCGGGTGCTGGTTTTAACTAAGCCGCACTTGGCTGAACCCCCTCCTTTCTACCCTGGCAGCAAAAAATCCTGTTTAAAACCAAGATGAAGCATTTGATTCCCGGCTGCCCCGCTGCCTCCTGGCTTTTCCTGACTGATAGGAATTTTGTGGTTGGCTTCAGCTGGCCCTTGGCTCCTCTTTTCCCCTTATAGTCAGACCTATTTCTTTCAAGCCTGTGATTTTTTCAGCTGGATCTCCCCAACCCCTATGTACACCCAGAGCTGCAAAGCCAGGTTGGGGGGAACCACCTCCCTCTGGGGCCAAATAGACCCAGCAGCTCTTGGAATTACTCCCTTAAATGAATCATTTTGAATGAGGTTGGACGTGCAGCTCCCTGGTTGCCCGCAGCCCCCATCAGCCACACCCTGAGTTTGCAGGCGAGGGTCCATCGTTGCCGAGATCTGATTTTTGACAGTATTTGGGTGTTACAAGGTGCTTTGGATGCTCGAGGAGAGTCAGGTTCCCTTCAGGAAAGGGAATACTCTGCAAAATCCCCTTATTGCCTCCCTGCGAGAGAGCTGCACCCCAAAATGATGCCCTATCCGTTGCCCTCATGTTTTTTTCCCCAGCTGCAATTTCCACACCTCTTCACCTGTACGAGCGATGGGCTTGTGGCTGGGAGCTCCTGGGAGAGAGGTGCCCCAAGGAGGGGGTGACCCTGGGGGGGTTTGGGTGAGCCCCATCGCTTCTGGGTCAGAGAAGGGTGCAATGAGCTGCTCCAGTGATGGCCAATGCAGCCTGGGGGGAAAAATGGGACCTGCTTGGTGCTCGAGGTGCCCCCATCCACCTCTTCTCAGCATCCTCGTGGGCCTCCAGGTGTGGTGGTGAGCTGGTGCAGCATTCACATCCGTGCCTCAGTTTCCCCATCCTGGGGGAAGAGGTGACCAGTTGCCGTTTTACATCTGCCTTGGGTGGGAGAGGCCGAGTCATTGGCTCTGCTCTGCTCCCATGTAACAACAAAAAAAGAAAAAAAACACTGGGCATTTGCATGATTCAGCAGGTTTTACGGGCTCAGACGGGCGACGTGTGTACGCGGCGAAGGCTCCACAGTGAGTTTATCCCTCAAATCCCTCAAGGCCATGGCTCTGACTTGGCACCAACGCTGCTTTTAAGTTGGGCAGCTGCAAACTTTTCCTCTGTCCCTCCCCTCACCGCATGCCCAAGGGATTTCCCCTGTCGCCCTGCAAACCCCATCACCCCCAATCCAACCAATGCCCTGCCCCCAAACCTCCCCAGCTTCACCCAAAATGGGAGAGCTTGGAACAACAACCCCCTCTCCCTTAAATCCCCATTAAGGGGCTACACCCAGCAGCTTGGCGTGGGCTGGTTTCTCCACTAGCCCCCGCCAGGAGACAG